TTATTATTATTATTATTATTATTATTATTATTTATTATTATTATTATTATTATTATTATTATTATAAGTAGGAGGACATATGAACACCTTTCCTTTACTAAAAAGCAATCTACCGACTTGACAACACGAGTAAATTCGCTTGTGCCAGCGTCCTGGAAACCCCCTACGTCACCCAACAGACACGGAACCTGAGCCCAAAATAAACCCATCAGAGTCAAAAAATGTACAGAAAGCAACGAAACTTGCCTCGGGGAGCTTCGTGAAGAGAGAGAGAGATGGGAAGAGGGAATAAAAATATATATGAAACACAGTTGGCCAAGAACTTCCTCCGTCTATGACGTCAGTTGACGAAGAGCTTAAGCAGCTTTCTGTTGAATGCTCCCCCCCCCCGAAATAGACAGCGCCATTTTCCAAAATGACCCCTCCCTCCTTTCTTTTTACCCTGACGATCCTCGCGCAAGTTGGTGCAATCAGTTGTATTTCTGACAGTGCGGTGTCAATACAGTGTTTGTGGTATTGTAGTAACCACTTCATTGCTGAAAGGTAGGCAGTCCTTGCTGATAAGCTTCCTTTTTCACACTGGCACAAGGATCCGACTAACAAACGTCTTCATTATCCTCCTCTTATTTCTCCTACACTATCACACCTGTCCTCTGAGAGCGGCCGAAGCGACCAGGCTATGGGCTGTACGATCGTGGACTCGGGATTCGATTCCCGGGAAGGAAAAGACACTTTTCTATTCTCTATAAAGTCCAGACCGCCTCTGGGGCCCACCCACTCCTATACAACGGGTACCGGGAGGGTCTTTCCCCGGGCGTACAGCGGCAGGTCCGTGAAGCTGACCACTTACTCCATGCAGTGCCAAGGTCAAGAATGGTGGAGCTATAACTCCATTTTCCATACGTCTTCATGGCGTATTACTTAATTAAGCCCACGGATAATTTTGCCTATTACCTCTATCATGCCAGTTCTGCCATCTTTATCTTCGTCTAGCCAATAAACGTTTTCCTATAGGTTTATACTGTAAAATGAGAGGATAATATTCAAACGAATATCGATGAAAGAAGGTGTGGGAGTGTAGGCTGGATTCGGCTGTCTCACTATAGTTCCAATAGCGAGCTCTTGTGAATACTGTAATGAAAACTAGGGGTTCCATATAAAGGGATAAATTTGTTATCGACTGGGCGACTTAAGGACCCTTCTACATGGAGTCGATCAGCTTTCTTTCCCCTTTTATGTGTGTGCGGAACTTCATCTCTTTAACTACACTAGAGCTATGACAAGAAACATACAGGCCTATGGCCTACTAGAGCGAAAACCGAGGCGGTATGCATTACACTTCACTAATTCTCAGGGCAGCCGACTTGGCCCGTAGTTGGACACTAACTCACTCCACGGAGCTGAACCCTTCTTGAGAAGCCGCCGATTTTCCAGCTACTCAAGAACTTCCCAGCATTTTATGGGACCCGAAGGTCTATTACTGTGTTCATAAGATCCCTCCACTGGTCCCTACCATCAGCCAGATCAATCCAGTCCATACCACCCCATCCTATCCCTCTAAGATATATTTCTATATTATTCGCCCACCTATGTGTTGGTCTTCCTACTGGTCTCTTTCCTTCTGGCGAGTGGAAACAAACAAAAAACAAACTCCGTGGCTTGAGTCCGCAAACGAACTGTACCGACCGAGCGACCGCCGCTTGTCGGCGAAGTTAGTGCGGGTAGAGGGTGTCGCGTGGTCAGAGCAACGAATCACCACGACCGTTAATTTCGGTTTTCTAGACCGGAGTCGCTATTTCCTTGAAATAGCTCCTCAATTATCCTCACGAGGCTGAGTGGACTCCGTTCCAGACCCACTAGTTCTCAGTAAATCTGGTAGGGCCGGGAATCGAACCAGGGACCTCAGGATCTGTAGCCAGGAACTCTGACCACTAGACCACAGAGAGTGGAAACAAGCAATTTAATTACAATTTGAACAATTTAAGTGTTAATTAAAGCCCTAACATTAAAAGATGAATATTATTAAGACTACACAGAAACTACAGTAAATGCCAGTATCAGGGCTCATCTGGAAGTAAAGGCAGAGACTATTAAAAAAAAAGCCTTTGAAAAAGTGCGAAGCTCAGATACATTATTTGAGATAGACAGTAAGTTACGCTCAGGAGAAAAAAAAAGATATTTTGGGAATGGTTGCTACCATCCAGTTTAGAATCTTCTGGCCTTCTTGTCTGCCTAAAAACAACATTAAAATATACGAAATTCTGCCCGCAGTTTGTATGGATGTGACACTTGGTCTCTCACATTAAGGGAATATAGAACTGGCTCTGGACAGGAAACAGAGGACATATCTTGTAACGGGATAATGAACCTTCAGATTCAGTAAAAGGCGGAGAATTTTTCTTTTAGAAGGAGTCTGCTTCATGGAGCGATAAAGTGAGTGAATTCGATTATTGGCGCGATACATCGTTCTCCTATTCTCGATGATTCGGTCCTAATGCAATCTGATAATATTTAACTAATTCCATTGGGCATATTTCTTCTTGACAACAGTTGCTCGGCTACCAAATAAATTCCTAGCATTTTACGAAATCCGAATGTTCATAACAGTGTTCACTAGAGCCCGCCACTTGTCCCAGTTCTAAGTCAAATTAATCCAGTCCATAACCCTATTTCTTTCAGAACATTTTTCTTATTGTTCTTCCATCTACGCCAATGTATTCCAACTGGCCTTGCGGATTTCATTTCTTACCCACTTGATCTATATGCGCGGCTCATCTCATCTTTGATTTGATCATTTTAAAAGTTTGAGATGAGTACAAATTATGAAACTTCTCATCGTGTAGTTTTCTCCAATCTCTTGCTACTCTGTCCCCCTTAGGTCCAATTATTCTCCTCAGCGTCCCGTTCTCAAACCCCTTCAATCTACGTTCTTCCTTTAATGTGAGAGGCCAAGTTTCACAACCATGCAAAATATACGCAAGTTTAGTTTTGCATATAGATTAAATTTTAGACAGAAGGGGAATTAAATGATTATAGACTGAATGGCAGCAAGCATTACCTAAATCGAATTTCATAATAACATTTTAAAATAGATTCTGAATCTATCCGGAGTTTCATACGCCTGGTCTAGGTCAATCACAAGCTGACATAAACGAGCAGGAAACTACATACACACAATACGGATGTTTATACTGTTTCTGTCACCACTGTTATACGTTCTCATAAGAAATTGTAAGAGTGCAGGCCAGGCAATTACCTGCGTTGTACTTTAACAACAGAGATGTAACAGTAATCTTCTAAGCTTCTATTCGGGAGGTCCTACGTTCAAACCTCGATCGGGTCACGGACTATCTTGACAGACGTTTTTATGGTTTTCCCCACTGCTTTAACATAAATTCTAAGATAGTACCTTAATTAGACCACCATCGCTTCCTTCCAAATCCTTCCTAATTCACCACATCATTCATCCTACCACTGCACGCTATACTCGTATAGTCTAAGATGCTGATAGCACAGTAAAACAAACCATACAACATACCAAAAACAGCACAATTCTTCCCCAGGTTAACTCTGTCATAACAACCCCTCGCTTGGAATTACAGGGATTTTGGACTTCGCCCATCGTTCGGGAATCTAAATAACATTAAAGAACACAATGTTTCGAAAACTGTATCTGTTTCCATCCTAGTGTGAGGGGGTGGGAGACGCCTACTCTGTTGGGTTCGTTAAAATAGCTAGGTCCAGTGATTGAGGTTAGTCCTTCCTAACGCGGGGGCAAGCGGTAGAGCAGTTGACTGAGGCACTATGCTAGATGCTGGAAGGTCGCGGATTCAAGTCGACTCAGAGTCTAACAGAAATGAGAACCAGGAATCTTCCTGGGGGTAAAGGGCGGCCGGCGCATAGGGCTGAAAACCTTACCGCCATCTGTGAGCCGATTGTCTAGACAAAATGTGGGAGCCTCGACGTCTCACAACCCTATGGGCATTCACAGCCTGTTACATTTTTCTTTACGTTTCTAAGGGAACCAACAGAGTTGGTGTCTCCCAACCCCTCAACTGAGGACGGAAACAGATCCGGTCTCCGAAACTATGTGTTCTTTAAATTAATGGACGATGAATGAAGTCCAGAAATCCATTTATCCTGAGTGTTATACACCATCGTCGGAACGCTTTAGAACCAACCCCTCACTTGCTTATTTCATCATCACTCATTGCACCATTTTGTATAGCACCTATTTGCTGGGATCTGCTGTTTGCTTTATTTAGCAGTTTTCTAAGCGTCTTATAAATGTGCATAACTTTATGTTTTCACAACGTCCTTTATTAAACCAATTGATAGCGTTACAGCCTGCAGAAACATCACATAAGTCTAAACATAAGTCATTACGACTGTGTCTTCTGGATCACGGCACAACGTAGTTTTATCAAAAAAGAAACACTTGCCACGGTTTCATTTCGAAATACGAAACTGGTAAAGTTAACACTCCAAATTTATAGTGCCAACAAGTCATACTAAAGTAAAATTAGGCGAAAAAACGAATTCTGTAGGATTTGAAGTTCTCACAACGGTGGTTATCAAGAGTTCTATCTTCTGGTACATAACGCCGTGTAGTCCGTTGACTGGCAACAGACGTTTAGGAGGAACATACCGCCTCCGACCTCACAGCCCTGCTCTGCTTGCTACCTCCTTCGTGCTGGCTTATCCTTCGAACTTGAAGATGAAGGTGACATGTTCTTCCAAAACATCAGCTGACCTTCAAGGGACTACACGTAGTTACACCCCTGAAGACGGAACTCAACATAAATTTTAATATCTGTGGTAATGGAAAATCTGCATTCACAGTACAAATTTCCAAAACCATTTAATCGACGTTCGTTGCATTTGAAAAATAAAACACTGTTTAACCAAAAGAACTATGCTGTAATGTCCTCGAATTGTGGCCTCCGAGGTAGGCTACTGTCAAGCAGCCGAGCGAGTGTCGAAGCCGATTCGTATTTTAGAGAAGCCTAAATACTCGGCTGGAAACAAAATAACGAAATGAGCCCACAGAATGTACAGGCCTATCATAACAATGCGATGTATGACTGTTGTAAGGCTTCACTGTGGAGTTCTGCATGTGTTAGTTCTTAGAAATGATGAACAATCGCGATGCCCAATGCATCTAAATATAATTTGGGTCACGGATGTATACAAACAGGGCGTCTCTATGTTTAGCACACTACGCTTCATCTGATGGGATCTTCACAATTAGTTTAGAGCGCATGCGTTTCCCGAAATTTCAAATACCCATACATATTGTCATGTGATTGACTATAGATGGCGTTTGGATTGGTAATTGGATTTATTAACCACTTACAGAACGTTAACTACTGGTAACTAGCGCTATCGCTAATTTAAACTGTTTACAGTTCACTAGAGCACGCACACTGAGCCTTTTCTGCTGTCTTCACCAGTCGTTGCTTGGTAACGGTTCTCAACGGCGGTCGTTCCCCTTACTCTGGTTTCCCGAATTTTCCCGTGTCTCAGCTACCAGCTTCTCACGG